GGGGGAAGAAGAGGGGGGGGGGGGGGGGGGGCAGTGGGAAAGGAGTCTTTTAAGGCCTGAAGCAGCTGGATATACAGGGCTTGATACACACTGTCATGGCAACATGAAGGAAACTATCTCCTACAGAAACTAAATTACAAAATATATGTATTTGCATGTAAAGAGTCCGGGGGGAAGGAAGGGGGTTTAGTGTCTTTCAGCGATTCCAGAGCAGCCCGTTTCCTCGTGCTTGTGAAGAAGTGACATTCTGGAGAAAGTCCGGGAGCAGGTTTTGCACTGATACTTCTTTACATCTGAATGGGTTTGCAGGTGGGCACGGAGATTAGAGCGGTCAGCAAAGGCCCTATTGCAGTGCGTACAGGAAAAAGGCTTTTCACCTAGAAGACAAAAGAGAATGCTTCACCATTAGCTCCCGGGGGTGGGGAAGGGGGCAGGAAATATCAAAGCATGGCCCATTTGTTAGTCCAAAACTCAGTTTAAACAAAAAAACCAACCAAACAACAACAAAAAAAGAGGCTGTGCATGCAAAAAAAGGGCTGGGTGTTATACAGAGATCACCACACAGATCTTTTCCTATTGATCTCTTGCATTCAAAAAAAGAGGCATGCATGTGATTCACATGCAGAAAATGTTCTGCTTAGGAATTTAGCATAAAAAGAAGAAAAAAACTCCAGTTACTATATGAAACTACAAGAGTTTCCCCACTGGGGAAAGGTTAAAAAATAAATAAATCAAGACAGTTTCACTAAGAAATTAGAAAGCAGAAGCATGTCAAGGTCTGGCTGCCAGCAACTGAAATGGTTTGCAGAGCTGCCACCCAGTGAAGCATCATGCTTCACGGTTATGAAGTGAACCACGGCCAGGCTTCCTTGAAGGCAGCCAGCCCTAAACCTGGGAGTGGAGCGATTTCCTTTTCAGAGGCTCCCCTTCCCCCAGGCCCTGCTTAAAAACCTGCAGCCAAGCAAATTCCTGCCCAAGAGGCTCTTTTGGAGGAAACAAATGTGTACGCTCAATTTGGAAAGCACAATTAAGTCTTTCCAGCTTCCTTCAGACCTCGGCTTTGGGCCTTGGAGAGGGTGTGAAATCAGCGCCAAGTGACAATGAAACGAGCCCCGTGGCCAGCACAAAGGCGGTGGAGGGGACGCATTGTAAATGGGATACTTCTTGGATTAAAAGCCAAAAGCTCAGCAAGGCTGGCAGCTGCAAGTGCGGTGCTGCCCCAGGCATTACAGTAACAGGTGCACCATGCTAGCAGCACTGGCACATTAAAGCACCTGCCGGCGCTGCCCAGGAGCTTCCAGGGGCGCCTCAATAGCAGCATTAGCCAAACAATGAGTCATCAGCAAGGCTGGCCAGGATGCATCTCAACTGCACCTTTTGTGCTGGCACTCAGCTTCATCCCCCCTGGGATCAGAAGGGTTTCAAATGCACCTAGTGCCCTCAGCCCCAGGCTGGGGTGAAAGCAGAGAACGCCCCTGGCAGAGCCCAGCCCCTGGATACGGCACACAGGGACAATTTTCAGGGGCAAGGTTAGGAGATGCTGGAGGGGGTAGAGAAAGCCACCTGCTCTGCCCCTAGCACCATACCTAAACTCCTGGAGGCCCCAGGGAAACTTTTAGTGTCAGGCCCCCCTTCGCCACAGATAACAACAATAATCATTATTTTTACTATTTTTGGACCACGGACAGTTGCCTGGTCCATTCATGCCCGGGGCACATCCACTAGCTCTGCTGGGTCCCAGCAGGGCCAAAAGAGCAGGGGCATAATCCATGCAGCCCGCCATCCCTTGGACAGTCCTGCCTTGTGCTAGGGCTGGCTTAGGGCACCCCATACCCCTACAGCCTCTCGGCCAAGTGCTCGACCACCCGCCCGCTGCCAGGGGCAGCCCCACCGGGTCTACTTGGGGCCATGCCCCCCTCTGCCCAACCACACAGAGTCCAGGCCCGCTTCCCCACACCCCGCCCGGCAGGGCCACGTACCCGTGTGCGTGCGGATGTGGCCCTGCAGCAGCCAGGGCCGGGAGAAGGCCTTGCCACACATCTTGCAGACGCAGGGCAGCGTGTGGCTTCGGATGTGCATCTTGAGCGCGCCCAGGCTGACGTACTCCTTCTCGCAGTACTTGCAGCTGAAGGCCTTCCTGGGCTGTGCATCGCAGTGCAGCTGGCGGTGCTTGGCCAGGCCGGCGAAGGTGGAGTAGGGCTTGCGGCACTGCCCGCACTGGAACTTCTCGGCCTCGGGGGCGGCGGGCGAGGCCGGGCTGGGCGGGTCCGACGTCTTGCTGCCCTCGTCCTCCTCGCTCGACAGCGACGTGAGGTCCAGCGGCTTGGGCTCGGCGCCGCCCGCGCCGCCCGCCGGCTCCTCCGGGGAGAAGGAGGGCAGCCGCCCCG